CCCCAAAACCCCAAAACCCCAAACGAAGCTTTAGTAATGAATTTAGAAATAATTTAATGGTTTCAATAGTAATTATGTCTAAACATGTTTATTATATAAAATTCAAAGAAACTTTCGATAAAAATTTTCCCCCTTATTTTTAAATAAGGTAGTTTTTCCTATTGAAGGGAAAAAGTTCCCATAATTAGTTACTTACTAAGGCTTTTCTTTTTCCATGTACTCCACTTCATCATCATTTTGCTTTTCATTATAAATTGATGCAATAGTTGCTCCTCCAACTGCAGCTCTGACCTGTTTCTCCATTTATTCCAAATCTATCTTGAGTGGATGAGATTCACTTTTATTCTTTCTTTTTTTCTGATAGATTTTTTTCTTTGAAGCATATTTAGTCAATGTTTGCTAGTTTGAAATCATTATTGCCTTTTTATCTTGTTTTTTACTTGGAATTATAGTGTCTAATTACTCCTCAATAGTGGCTTGCAATGTTTGACTACAGTCACTATCTTTTGAAACAACACTTGTTCTATTTATATTCTTGAGTTTTGAGTTTAAGTTTCTATAGACATTCTTAAAACTCTTTTATTCTTTTTCAGTCTATTTTGAGACATTTAAGATTGATATTACCTGACCTTCAAGATAGAATATCTTATGCTTTGCCCTCATATTAGTATCTGTAGATATCACAGAAAGATTAGTCCTCTAGGACTTTAATAGTAAAGGATCTATTAAGTCATTTGGATATTTGAAATTAATTCTAGATTGATTTGGAGTATTAGTTGCAATCAAGGGAAGATTTAGTGTTTTCTTTGGCATATTTCTAGTGAAATGATTATTTTAGTAAGGGTTTTAAGCTGGAATTTAGATTATTGTATCGTTTATCTTCCTTAGGTTATTGATCGGCACTTTCATTTGTGCTAGCTTTTAGTCTATTAATTTGACAGTCTCCTTGTCGTAATTAATAGAAGAAGAGTGATTTTTAAATGGGGAATTTTAACCGGAAAAGCCACTATTGCTTAATTACTCAAGAGTCTTTTTGATTGAGAAGTAGTTTTTAGTTTACTAATTAAGGGAATTTTGATCCATGGAGCTATTGTGGTGAGTAGGAAACTAACTCTGTAGTTCCTCCTCGATTTTTAGTTGCTACTTAGCTCTATTATTCAAAAACTCAGTATTCAATGACATCTTTGGATATAAAGTTGATCAAGTCATGTTTGATGGGTTAGAAGCTGGATGCTTTTATAAGTGAAGAATATCTTAGTTGAACACACTCTTTGATGCTTGATCCTGAAACAGTAATTATTGCTACATTTTATTAATTTTAATTCCATCTCTTTAAATTTACAATTTTTAAATTATCCATATATCTAGAGAAACGGGGTTTTGGGGTTTTGGGGTTTTGGGG